AATTTGTTTAAAATACTCCAAAAACTTCAAACTACTCCAATGTTTGTAAACTGCTCTACTGCGACTTCATTTCTTCATTGTTGATGTTCTTTGTTCCTGTCATTGTAAAAAAAAATAATATAATGAACAAAATTAGCAGATGCACGTACTAAAGAAAATATCTGTACAAGTAGCATATCGGCAAAATTAACTAAATGTTCAAAATTAACTTAAGAGATCCTGGTTCAGTTCTGTTCAAGAGTTAGGCAAAGATAAACAACATACTCAATTTATAAGTAGGAACAGATTCTTTATAGAAGATGCTAAGCAAACTGAGAAGAGCATTGACCTCTACAACTAAAATAAAATTCAAGGCAAAGGGATGAAATTTCAATCACAATTACGCCACAGGAAAACTAAAAGTACAAGTTAAAATATGCTCGCCAATTGATTGTATCAGTTTTCATTAACATGTATTTCATGCTAGATCGAGATGAGCAGAGTAATAAAATGAAAATCAAAACGCGCTTACTAGCGATGCCACATACTTTGACACTTTTCAAAAAAACCAATTCCATTGGGCTTCAATAGCTGAATCATGGTGATGCTGGTTCTATCTAACAAGGTTTTCTGTTTTGCAGGTCAATTTTCTGCACCTATGTCTTGCCTTTTGATGGATATTCGAATGGTGGTATTAGTATTTTACAATCAATCCATTGAAAGGAAGTTAAGGGCAGGCATAGGTGTTCATACAAAGTAGGACACACTGATAATTAAATTAGGCTTCTGCATTTGCTGCTATTGGAAAATCAGAAGAATGGGTGGAGATTGTGGTCCTAGAATGTTTAATAGAATTGGAAAATATGGAGCAAAGGAGTCAGGGGATGGTCAAAGTAAGCAGGGCACTCTGCTACAAAATTCATTCTGCGACATCAGGTTTGAGTGGAAAAATGAAGTAATAGGTGATGCTTTGCCCAGAATGTATAAACGAATTGGGCAATTGGGAGTATGTGATACATGGGAAGGTAAGGAGTGTACAAGGGGTACAGGGAGTTAGGCATTATTGGATTATAGGACTGCTGGTATAATATCTGAAGCAAAGCAGGACAGTCTGCTTCTCATATGCAGTAGTATCTGCTGCAGACTAAGTGTAGCAGCAATAAAAGGGAGTCTGCCCAGAATGTTCAACCGAAATGGGCAAGGTGGTTTAGATGGTAAAGGAAGTTGTAGCTGGAGGAGAAAAGAAATAAGAAGTAAGGAGGCAGAGGAGTTAAAGGAAAAGAAATTGAGAATGAGGCTTGCTAGCAACATCAACACTATCAAATCCATCTAAAGGAAATGGTGTTGGTGTAATTTTTCTACTAACATAGTTCTCTTTTTTGCAGGTACCATCTATTCACTCATGACTTGCCATTCAATACGACTTCTATGGGTGGTATTAGTACTTGCTACTCATTCCCTTGAAGAAGGAAAGATGGCAAGCATGAGCATGACAGTAGTGCAATCTGGGAATGCACTAGGCCTATACATAAATCGAGACTTCTTGTCTCACTTTAGGCACATTTCTGTAGTGCTACACCAGTATACAGCAGAGGAGCTATCATTGGATACAAGTAGCACAATAATAAGCAAAGGACCAGTGTGCACAATTACTACTACACATAACACAAATGGATTGCAGTCAATATCACCAGGTCTTAAGTGTCAGAATACGGCCTACGACAGGGGGACAACAAGAAAATGTAGATTCTCAACACACAATAGGATGCATCAATCAACAATCACAATCATCTTAGGGTCAAGAATTGGCAGAAGAAACAACCAATATGGCAACAGTTGTATAGTACATTTGTAGAGTATAGAAACATTAGCATTTACCTTTTGAATTCTAGCCATCATCGTAGCCATCTGCTCTTTAAATCTTTTATCAAGTTGTAGATTCATGTGTGCACGCTCCTCTTCTAATTTCTTTTGCAACTCCGCACGATCTTCTTCTAGCTTTCTTTGTAACTCAAAACGATCATCTTCTAGCTTCCGTGATTCAGCAGCCATTTGTTCTTCTAACTTTCTTTGCAACTCAGCAGCTTGTTCACGTTCTTCTTGTAATTTTCTGTCCATTTCAGCTTGCATATCTTGACGCATACTTTCCATTGCAGAAGACATACTTGCTTCTAATTCAACCTGCTGCACTCGGCTCTTTTTTGCAGGTCTTTTTCCGTACCCTTTCCCACGAACATAGCCAGTTCGTTCGCCAAGTACGGTGACTAAAATCTCATCTGCATTCATCGGATTTTCTTCAAATTGTTGTTGCTCCACAATTTCTTGGAGCTGCCCCTGCAATTATGCATAACAATTTATGATATAAAATAGGAGACATAAAATAAAATAAATAAAACACAATTTCAGGAGATTACATGAATTTGCTGCGACTGTGGATCTGACCACACCAGTTCATCTTTGTCATTCTTACGAGTATGTTGGAGCTCCCAAACTCGATCCGGTGGTGCCTTTTGTCCATTAACAGGATTTCTCTACGATTTATTAAAGTAGAGGAAAACTATTTTATTTCATAATTTAATTAAAGTAGACCAAAGGTTCAAATATATGAAATATTATTGTGCTAAATGAATTTGTACCGTTGATTCCTCCACTTCAGCAAATGACTTTGAGCCACATGAGTGTTTAGTGATTTGTTTTCCCCTGTTTATTTTGTTTCGCTCACTCACAGCCTGAAATTATATCCATAAATTAAGAACTAGAATTGAAATAGTAATTTGTCACATATTTATATTACCAAGTTACCTTGAATTCTAGACTTCCAAAATGTCCTACCAGAAACACCCAATCCTCAGGTGTAACATCACTTGGCCTATGAGATAATTTCTCTTCATCAGTAGCATAGCGAGAGTATTCAGCATGCAATCGAGTCTTCCATGTTCTAAAATGTCTTTTCATAGTATTGACCACAAGAGCTTGCAATACATGCTCTCGAACTCCCGTAGCTTCAAATTTATCCTAAATGCAAATACGAAAAGCTTTTGAGAGTAAATAAAACGTGTGATAAAAAGTCGATAGAACCTTTATTAACAAATTATTACCTTAACCTTCAACCACATCGCATCTCCATGTTTTGTGATTATTTCTTGCCAATCACCATCTCTGAATGAGATAGTGCTGCGCATAATCAAACCACAATAGTTAACAATTTCCCTAGACCCGGGACCTACAGCTCTCTCAATGTCATCTGGAATGACAATAGGAATTTTACTACTATGCTTAGTTTTCAAATCTACAAGTAAAGATTTGTATCTCCCTCACCCTTTATTGGAATTTTTGCAAGAACTCTCGCGCGTCAAAAACGTATATAATATTTAACAAATCATATAGCANTCAATAATTTGTGGTTCAACATCATCCCTATATAAGGACACCACAATATCAATTTCTTGAGCATGAATGCGCGATGTATTAATTTCAACTTGCTCTTGTTGATAAGCATCTTCACTTGATAATACTTCATCTTCAATTTCTGTAGAATTAATATCCTTTTCAGGCATATTAAAAAGGTCACGAGGATTTGTCTTCACAACAACAAGCCAATCTTTGTTAGACATGTCGTCCACATAGAAAACTTGTTCACACTGAGATGCCAACACAAATGGCTCATTTGTATTCAAGGCACAACGGGTATTCACACTTGTGAAGCCATATTTGTCAATCTTATATCCTTTTCCTAAGTGAGCCACATCCCACCAATGACACCTGAAGAGGTAAACTTTCTTATTTCCCACATAAGATAACTCGTAAATGTCCTCCAATATACCGTAATACTCCTTTGTTGAGTCTGAATCATCTCCTCTAACAAGAACTCCACAATTCTGTGTTTTTCTTCTCGACTCTATATCTCTTGTCTGAAATCTAAATCCATTCACCATTAATGTGGAATATCGAAGCACTAGAGGTCCAGGACCGAGTGCTAAGCTTATGAGATCATCATTTGCATGTCCTTGTGCAGATAGTTGTATGATCTACAAAAGACAAACAATACTCTCGTAATCAATAACATATGTGATAATAACATTAATATTCAATATGTCATTTTATTCATCACTTACATGTGCACGAAACTAATCAAAAAAGTCATTGTTATGCCTTCCATCCCCTATTGCACTTTGTCTTTGCATCTCTTTGGTGTGTTCCCTACATTTTAATAATGGGTTAGTTAGGAAAACGTAATTGAAACTATCCTAATACAAAATTATCTTGAAGTTCTCCAGAAACTTACTCAAGGAACGGCCAAACTTCTTCAAAATTTTGAAGCACATATATGGTTGCTTGGTTTAACTCATCACGAGATAGCGGGGCGGGATCTGAACCACCTTTTGTTCGTCCACTATTTTTAAAGATAGATATCTCACCATGTGACACAGATTCATCATCATTCCTAGCTGGCCTATTGAACTTGGTTGAGATATTCTTTAAGTAGCGCGAGCAAAATGTGAGGCTTTCTTCTGCCAAATAACCTTCTGCAATTGAGCCTTCAGGACGAGCATAGTTGCGAACATACGACTTAAGTATTCGCAAATACCTGTATACAAATGACTAGTTAAAAATAATGTGACATTTTGAAATTATAATATTGAAATTTAAAGGATAACACGTTACCTTTCAAAAGGGTACATCCACCGATATTGAACTGGTCCACCTAGTTTTGCCTCTCTTGCCAAATGAATGGGCAAATGAACCATGACATCGAAAAAATGCAGGAGGGAAAACCATTTGGAACTTGCACAATGTGATATCAATTTCAGCCTCTAAGATATCAAGATCTTCAATTGTCAAGCACTTAGAACATAAATTCTTGAAAAAATTTTCTATTTCGATAATTGATTCACTCACTTCCTTAGGCAACACACCATAAATTGCTAATGGAAAATATCTTCCAATAATACATGATGATCATGACTTTTTAATACATGTATCTTTTTCTCTTCAACCTTGACACACCTAGAAATATTCGATTAAAAGGCATCAGGAACCTTCAAATTAGCTAAGAAATTACACACTTTCAGCTTCTCTTCTGAGGATAATGCGTAGCATGCTGCTGGTAACAACACATTGTTCCCATCCTGAATTGGATGCGAACCTTGCCTAATACCAAGGTCCACCAAATCATACCTAATTTTTAACGTGTCCTTTGTCTTCCCATCCACATTCATCACAATTGATAAAATGTTATGGGACACATTTTTTTCTATGTGCATCACATCAAGGTTATGTCGTAACAAAAGTGTCTTCCAATATGGCAATTCGAAAAAAATACTTTTCTTCTTCGAATTGTAAGCATTATTAGGGGCATTACGCTTTCGCTTTTGCCCTTTACCGAAAGTCACATTACCCAACCCTTGTAGTTGCATAAGTACATCATCACCTGTTAAAGGATTAGGTGCAACTCCCTTTTCCACTTTCCCATCAAATAACCTCCTGTTTTTGCGCCATGGATGGTCTAATGGAAGTAAGCGACGATGCCCCATATAACACAATTTACTACGTAATGAAATCGATTGTGTATCTTTGTGGCAACAAGGGCATGCAAATTTGCCCTTGGTTGACCATCCTGAAAGGTTCCCATATGCAGGAAAGTCATTGATTGTCCACATAATAGCCGCACACATCATAAAGTTAGATTTTGAGTGTGCATCATAAGTTTCTGCTCCTTCCCATAATTCTCTTAATTCTTCAATCATCGGTTGTAAATATACATCTATATCATTGCCTGGACACTTAGGACCTGGAATAAGAAGTGTCATCATGAAATACTCACTCTTCATGCAATCCCAGGAGGGTAAATTGTACGGAACTAGTACGACTAGCCATATGCTATTGTTGGAACTCATGTTCCCATAAGGCTGGAACCCATCGCATGCTAAACCTAATCGAACATTTCTTAATTCAGCAGAAAAGCTGGGATGTTTCTCGTCAAAAGATTTCCATGCCATTGCATCAGACGGATGTCGCAAGATACCATCATCAACACGTTCCTCTTTATGCCACCTCATCTTTTTTGCTGTCTCTCTTGCCATGTATAATCTCTGCAGTCTTGGTTTGATAGGAAAATGTCGCATGACTTTATAGCTACTTTCTTGCCTCCATTCTCTTTTGACTTCCATCTAGACTCACCGCACTTAGGACATGACTGTGCATTGGCATGCTCGCGCCAATATAAGATACAATCATTCTGACATGCATCTATTTTGGTGTACCCCAAGCCTAAGTCTCGAAGTACTTTCTTTGCTTCATAGAAAGAATTTGGAACAAATGACTCCACCGGAAGAACTTCTTTAAAGAAACTCAACAAGTCATCCATTGATTTGTTCGTCCAATGATTAAGGCACTTTAAGTGAAGTAGTCTAACCACAAAAGACAACTTGGACACATTTTTACAACCAAGATAAAGTTCTGTCTCAGCATCTTCAAGTAATTTGTAGAACTTTTGTGCTTGCAAATTTGGTTCTTCATTGTGGTGTGGAAGATTATTTGCATCAGGTGTATTCGCATATCCATAAGCATCATGAATCATCCCGGTAAATATCATCTTCTTCAGCATTATCATCCTCTACTTCATCATTGTTTATCACATCAGAATTTTCAACTCTTACCAACACCTCTCCGTGCAAGTCCCACACTTTATAACTATCCCAAAACCCATTGCTCAACAAGTGTCTTCTTATTTGGATTTTTAACATGTACTCTGTATTTCTACACCCTTTACAAGGAAATCTGATCACAGTGCTCACATTTGGTTGACTGTATGCCCAATTAAGAAAGTTATCTATTCCTTTAATATACCTTTTATCACATTTATTCTTAATATTCAGCCAACTTTTATCCATTGCTATTTTCTACAAAAAAATGCAATAAAAAATGTAAGCACGTCACTAACCAAAACTAACCACGTTATATAAACAAGTGTTGAACTCATCTATACGAGTACAAACACTAGGATATAAGACTTTAGAAACATAGTAAATGAGAACATATTGAATATTCTAAAAACTAATTTAACACCAGCATTTGGTCTTATAGAATAACTAACATTAGTTCACCTCTAAAGTGCAAATCAAATAATAAATTACATAGGAAATCAAATAACATAGGATACAAGGAACTAAATTACATAGGAAATCAAATAAGTTGACAATAACATGTGATCGATCTCCAAACAATTATCCTAAATTCTAAGGGACAAAACTTAATCTTTAAAGGCAAAGTGTATCGTCGATACTAAATCAATGTATAATGACGTAAACTATGGTCATGTGTGATCGAAAAATTAAATTATAGCTATTATAATTTACCAAACTATTAAATATAATATCTAATGCTATGGATTAAAATGTGCAGATTACTTTCTCACTAATTATGTGGCAACAGGGGATTGTTACCAAAACTAACCTTTTTGTGACGGTGAAATATGAGGGTAATTTGGCTTGAACATACTTTAAATGAATGACCTGTATCGTTTGATGCCCCTATTTGTCAGTTGGGAATTGGATTCAATTTAATTGTAAAATGGATATGCAACTTTATTCTATTGATGTGGTCTACAAGAGTTCTTCTATGTATCCTCGTTACATACTTACATTGTAACTATTTAAGCTTAAATTGGTTCTGACAACATTCATATTTATTTATGCATCCAGTTGATGGAAGAGAGCGATCATGTGATGGAAATTCCAGCTAAGCAAAAGATGAGCGTCAACAGACGTTAACTATAGAGCACGGCGAGGAGCATAAAGCTGCTCTACAAAGAGCTGTCACCTTGGCTGTTCCACATACATTTTTGCCTTCTCAGTATGGAACTTTTGATGGAAAAGAGGATGAACAGTCCGATAAATCAGTTGGTGATTCATCCACAGGGTCGTCGACTAAGAGCAAGAATAAAGATAACTGGGAAGAACTGATTGAGCGTCTATTTAAGGATGAGTCAGGTCATATGATTCTGAAGAAACCACAGTGATAAGCAAGCAATGTTGTAACTAATACATAACTATTCCTAAAAATAGATGTAAATATGAAGCATAAGCATGTCAAAATCGGTATAACAGAAAATTCAATTTGATCAATCGGAAGTATCCATAAAATCAACTCAACCAATTTAATAGAAAACCATAACATCATGATTTTTGGAGTACTTCGAGTGAATTCACATAAAACATAAAGAGGGAAAAACATATTTCCTGGAGAAATCTGAGCAGAGAACGCCTAAATCTGAGTAGAGCACAGAAATTTTTTTGCTGGTTTACTTCTGCGAGAGTAGTTGCACCATATAGATCGAACTTCTTTCCTTAGGTTTTTTTTATTTGGAAGAATTGTAGTTGGAAAAGAGATCTTTTTACCTTATTGAAACAAAATTGTAGGGTTTTTTTTTGGTTCCTGACTTATTGGTTTCGCGGGAAACAAAATTTTGCACACTTTGGTTTTCCCCCTCTGTTTTTCGAAAAAGATTAATTTTGTTATATTTAAATAATTTAAATTCCAGTTTCTGTGGCGACTAAGTCGCCACTCATTCTTATACATGGCGACTATCTATGAATTGCTACTAAAACTTTTACATCAAAATTTTATTTTTGCGGGAAAGTAAAATTTAGCGGTATAGTTACAAGTATTTGTTGCGACCTAAGTTTATTTGTCACTAAAAGTACCCTTTTCATGGCAACTATGATAGTTTTCACCAAAGCTGTAATTATTTGTGGCAAATTTAATATATCGCCACTAAATCACCTACTTTTTGTGGCGAATAATATAGTCGCTGTTGAAATCCGTCACTAAAAACCTCATTTCTTGTAGTGAGTAGAGATGCATCACATCTGTTTGATCCAGGGTCTACATACTCCTATGTGTCATCTTATTTTGCTACGTATTTGGTTGTACCTCGTGACTCTTTGAGTGCTCTTGTATATATTTCCACACCGGTGGGTGTAGATCGTGTCTATCCTTCGTGTGTGGTTATTATTGGGGGTCTTGAGACCCGTGTAGATCTCTTACTTCTGGATATGGTTGATTTTGATGTCATATTGGGGATGGATTGGCTGTCACCATATCATGCCATATTGGATTGTCACTCCATGACCGTGACCTTAGCCTTGCTGGGGTTGCCTCGACTGGAGTGGAGAGGGATTCCTGGTCATTCTACTAGTAAGGTCGTTTCTTATATGAAGGCTCGACGTGTGGTCGAGAGGGGGTGTTTGGCTTACTTGGCATATGTGCGTGATTCTAGTACTGAGGTTCCTTCTATGGATTTCATGCCAGTTGTTCGTAAGTTTCCAAAGGTATTTCTTGGAGACCTGCCAGGGATGCCACCCGACAGGGATATTGACTTTTGCATTGATTTGGCTCCGGGCACTCAGCCCATTTCTATTCCGCCATATCGTATGGCCATGCCAGAGTTGAAGGAGTTGAAAGAATAGTTGCATGACTTTCTTGACAAGGGCTTCATTAGACCTAGTGTCTCGTCCTGGGGTGCGTCGGTATTGTTTGTTAAGAAGAAGGATGGATTGATGAGAATGTTTATTGATTATCGGCAGTAGAACAAGGTCACCGTCATGAACAAGTATCCATTTTCGAGGAATGATGATTTGTTTGATCAGCTTCAAGGTGCCAAAGTGTTCTCGAAGATTGATTTGAGATCTGGCTACCATCAGTTGAGGATTAGGGCATCCGATGTCCCTAAGACAGCTTTCCGCACTCGGTAGAGCATTACGAGTTTCTAGTGATGTCGTTTGGGTTGACAAATGCCCCAGCAGCATTCATGGATTCGATGAACCGAGTGTTCAGGCCTTATTTGGATTCCTTCGTGATTGTCTTCATTGATGATATTTTGATCTACTCCCGCAGCCGAGAGGAGCACGAGCAGCATCTTCGAGTCGTTCTTTAGACTCTGAGAGACACTCAGTTGTATGCTAAGTTTTCGAAGTGCGAGTTTTGGTTGAGTTCAGTTGCATTCTCTGGCCACGTCGTATCAGCAGAGGATATTCAGGTGGATCCAAAGAAGATAGAGGCAGTCAGGAACTGGCCCGACCCACATCAGCTGCAAAGATCCAGAGTTTCTTGGGTTTTGCGGGTTATTACCGTCGGTTTGTGGAGGGGTTTTCATCTATCGTACCCCGATGACCTGGTTGACCCAGAAGAGTGCCCAGTTCAGGTGGTCGGACGAGTGTGAGGTGAGCCAGAAGCTCAAGACAACTTTGACTACGGCACCGGTGTTGGTTTTGCCCACAGGTTCAGGGCCATATACAGTGTATTGTGACGTACATCGTATTGGACTTGGTGCGGTGTTGATGCAGAATGGCAAGGTTATTCACGAGAAGAATAATCGATTTTATGATTTGGAGCTAGCAGCCATTGTTCACGCGCTGAAGATTTGGAGACATTATTTATATGGCGTGTCATGTGAGGTGTTCACAGATCACAAGAGTCTATAGTATTTGTTCAAGTAGAAGGAGCTAAATTTGAGGCAGAGAAGGTGGTTGGAGCTATTGAAAGACTATGATATCACCATCTTGTATCATCCGGGGAAGGATAATGTAGTGGCCGACGCTTTGAGTGGGAAGTCAGCCAGCATGGGCAGCGTTGCGTATATTCCGATCCGTGAGAGACCGCTTGCTTTGGATATTCAGGCTTTAGCCAATCAGTTCGTGACGTCGGATGTTTCTGAGCCCAGCCGTGTGCTGGCTTGCTATCCGAGATCGGAAGTATGATGATCCTCATATGCTTGTCCTTAGGGACACGGTGCGGCACTAGGGTGCCAAGCAGGTCACAGTTGGAGATGATGGAGTTTTGAGGATGCAAGGTCGTATTTGTGTACCTAATGTGGATGGGCTTCGTGAGTTGATTCTAGAGGAGGCCCATAGTTCGTGGTATTCTATTCATCCCCGCGCCGCTAAGATGTATCAGGACGTGCGGCAACATTATTGGTAGAGGAGGATGAAGAAGGATATTGTTGTGTATGTAGCTCGGTGTTTGAATTGTCAGCAGGTAAAGTACGAGCATCAAAGACCTGGTGGTTTGTTCTAGAAGGTTGAGATTCCCGAGTGGAAGTGGGAGCGTATCACTATGGACTTCATTGTTGGACTCCCACGGACTCAGAGGAAGTTCGACGCAGTGTGGGTTATTGTGGATAGGCTGACTAAGTCAACGCATTTCATTCCTGTGGCAATTTCCTATTCTTCTGAGCGGTTGGCAGAGATTTATATCCAGGAGATTGTTCGTCTTCATGGTGTGCCTGTGTCTATTATTTCTGACTGAGGTACGAAGTTTACCTCGCATTTCTAGAGGCAGTTCAGCGTGAGTTGGGTACTCGGGTCGAGTTGAGCACAGTATTTCATCCTCTGACGGACAGACAGTCCGAGCATACTATTGAGATGTTGGAGGATATGCTCCGAGCATGTGTTATTGACTTTGGAGGTTCGTGGGATCAGTTCTTGCCATTAGCAGAGTTTTCCTACAACAACAGTTACCAGTCGAGCATCCAGATGGCTCCCTATGAGGCATTATATGGTAGGCGGTGTCGTTCGCCAGTTGGATAGTTTGAGCCGGGAGAGGCTT